TTCCCCTCTCATCTTTGACCTTGGATTCTTCCTTGAATGATCATTGCCTATGTTGTTAGTGTTAAATGAACACTTCCAATGTTTGTTAAAGTGCATGTATTCCTTAGAAAACGAGTTGTTGGAATGTTATTAGGTATTTGACAGAAAAATAGACTCCTTCTCAATTAAATTCAAGAAATACCATTTGCACATAATTAAATGCTTTTGTTTGAATGTTGTGTTTGGTTGGTATCTTTGTTTACTGCAGGACTTCTCTCAGTAGATATCCAGTTAAACTCTACTAATTTTAGAAAAGAGGGAGTTTAGGTGTTTCATTAACCCCCATTTTGATCAAGTAGAAAGAATCCCTGCCTCAGATGGCAGGAAATGTTTCATACATAACAAAGCAGAAAGGACTTCTCTAAAGTCAGTGGCATTGTAATTTGAAGCAGAGTTAGTGATCAGATTGTAGGTTGTGGTACCATATCTTCATGTCTATTGCCTGCAGCTGAACTGAGCAAAAAACATTTTCTTCTGATGAGACAGTATGATAACAAATAAACAAAAACCTCTCCTGCTCCATGATTTATTGAGGGGCAAAGGACATTTTATGAACCTCCAATTCCCAGCCATACTTAAATAGTAGTTTAGAAATAACTACTTAAATTAAGGCATTTGGGGACAGAATGGAATATGTATAAGCACATTTTTCCAATAATCTGAAAATTCACAAAATGTTCCAATGTCAGTTTCATGATTAATTGATATCAAGAGAACATCTTTTGAGGTAAGGTTTCACTCCTGCTTTCTCTCTGATAATAATTACCTGTGTTAATAAATTTGAAATTCATTACAACCACAATTTATGTCTGCTTTTTAGGCAAAATTGGAGAGGTACCAGCCATAGTAATGATACACAGCAGAATTTTTTAGACTTGTACCTATATAAGAGTTAGGAAACAATGCTAACTACTTTTTAAAATATATTTGTGAAAAATGTCACTGTCTGTACCAAAACTGTCTTCATAGCTGCCTAAACTCAGTTATTATGGTCATAGTCAATGACTTTGACTTTGAAGTCAAAGACAATGGAAATCAAGACTAAAACCTGTACTATTCCTTTGAGTTAAAATGCGAATATTTCAATTTTTTTTAAGAGAAGAAAAAGTATGTATATATTATGAAAGGGCAAAATTTGATCAACTCTGAGAGACTTGGGTACAGAATAGGTTAGGTTTGGATCAGAGTGAGTCGAACAAATGACAGAAGAGTGAACTCAGGTTGTAATGACAGACCTGGGTACCAAAAAGTACTAAAACATGAAAATAAAAAAGCATGGGCATGATAAAGTAGAAAAAAGAGGGAAAATTCAAACTTTGTATGTGAAACAACCAGTTACCTTGACTAACTATGCAGCAAGTCTTGTGATGTAACAAAATCTTAAAACTCATAGTGACATAGTGACACCAGTCTGTTCCTTCTGTTTTTTACCTTTCCATTCTTTCTGCCTTAAAGGTAAATTCTCAAACTTCTGTGATTTTAAATCAAAAGACATAAAATCTTATCATCATTAAAACTTCTTTATTGCCAGACATAAAGTTGACCCTCGCAATCGCTTGATGGTATTATGTTTCCGCAAATTGTGAAAAATAGGCTTCCAGATTAGAAGAGATGAGCCTGAAAGTAGTGAGAATTTCATATTCCAGATGATATTACACTATTGGTACATTTTCTTCAATCTCATGGACCAGCAAGGTATATGTGGTGTGGGCATATATACACACTTACACATTATGTATGTATAATTACATATGTATATATATGTATGTATACATATGTATATGTGCATATATACCCACATAAATACATATACAGTTTATATATATATATATATGCAGAATTATGAAGTAGAGGAAAAAGACCAGATAAAAGCAGACATTAATCACCCTTTAGAAACAAAAATATTGCTGTTTGTCTGAGAAGCATTGGGAGATAAAATCACTCCATGTGATTCACAACAGCAGCTTATTCTTATTTGAATTGTATTTATAAGATGAAGCTTCAAATCCTGCTAAGTTATCATAACTGTGCATGGGAAATGAAGCAGGACAAGAGCTTAGGTGAATAGTTTTTAAACATATTTAGCAAAAGGATGTTTATGCAAAGCAAACATCTTATGACAGAATTTCAATATATAAAATTATATTTTCTATCATGTAAGTTCAAATTTATAACAATTACATATCACAAAGTCATTTAAAATAACAAGTAAAAAATTTGGAAAATGAATGTCACAGATGACAACCACATAAGCCTCAGCATTTAATTTATTTATACATTGTTTTCTACAATGTTGAACAAATTCTATTTCACATATATAAGTGTTTCAAACGGCTTTTAAACAGCTTGCAGTATAACAGAAAAGATTTTCATAAAGAGAAGTTTGTCTGGCTGCACAAATTAGTGTGGCAGCAGATATCATCAACATATTAAAATATATATTATTTTAATTACATGTGTTAAAACAGTTAGAAAATTTTTAATGAAGCTCAAACTAACATTTTTGGAACACTCCAAAACACCTCTTGGGAGGGCAGGGTACAGTTGGAAATGCACTGGCTTAGAGAGTCCAAAGCGGAATTATTAAAAAATGTTTTATTGAGATAGAAGAAGCAACAGATGGTATGACAGTCACTTATTGTAGAGTTTCCCTAAATATTTCTTTTTTCCACATTATCAATGTTCTCCTTAATAATTCAGACACAACCAAACCATTTCAACTGAAGCTTACAACAAATGGGTACTGAAAAAAGTAAATTTTGAAATTATGAGTATCCTGGTGGCTTGGAATACCAGTTGTCCATGGCCAAATAAAGATGGTGGAATGGGCTAAGAGAAAATACCAGCCTATGGGGATAAAGAGGAGAGAGAAGAAAAGCAAGTGCAATCAAAAAGAAAAAATGAGGTCATAGGTCCAATAATATAAAGAAAATAAGGATGGAGTCACCCAGCTAAATCCTAGTCTTCTTTTCCTGACTGAAATTAGATCTTACTATCTTTGAGAAGTAGTCTATGTCATCCTCTAAAACTGGATTAGGAGCACCTACTAGTCAGGTGCACAGACATCAGTTGTATTTTTTTTTTTCAAATATTCTCTTTTCCTGGATCTAAGTGTACACATACGCTGGGGCACCTTCTGCCTCTCTTTTTCATATACTTATACTTGCCTACACCTGATGCTAGATTATGATATTTGTGAAAACAGAAATCATGTCCAACATGTACACCACTATATTCCCAGTGCTTAACTTAGTGTAATTACATAGTTAGCCCTTATCAAATATTTGTGGAATAGATGAACAAATGAGAGAATGATAGTTACTTGTTACTACATGGAAGGTAAGAGGATTCATGAAAATGATTAGGGTGAGCAACTTCAGATAGAGTGAAGATAAAGTGCACAACATATATCTTGGCAAAGGATTTTTCTGTGGACCTTGGTTTTTGTTTTTTTCCCCTCTGAAGAAAAATGCTGTGGCCAGGTTAGATTTCCTTAGCTTAGCAAAGGGTGCATCTAGATAATTTCTAGGGCGATTCATCATCAGATATAGCTCTCAGTGGAGGAAGTAGTGATGTTGATGATTAAGCAGAAGGCATTTCCTCCCAAGGAGAGATGTTTGAAGAAGGACCTTGCATCCTGGAAGTGCTGTTTCTCATTGAGATGCAAAGTTGAGATCTTAATCTCTTGGAACATTGCTGGTTCCCTGGACTTTTCAGTAGGAGACAGCCAATAAAAATAATGACATATAGTATCTTACTTTTGTATAGTTTTTCTCAGTTCTGAGAGCACTATCATATCCATCACCTTATGAGAACATCACAATAGGCTTACCAAAGGTGGTACAATAGGGGATTTGAAAACAGAAGAATGAAGGCTCAGAGATGAAATCTAAGCTCATGTGGCTAAAAACTGGCAAATTTAGGATGAGAACTTGGTGCTTTCCATCATAGGTTCTATGTGACCACAGTTTAGAAAATTCAGGCTAAAATAATTCTCTGTGTACAGAATCACCCAAAATACCATTTTGGAATTAGGGAAGGAAGAAAAATATAGAAGGTAACTATGAGAAGAAAATTCAGCCAAAATAAACACCAATCTTTCAGTTGAAACTACTTATATGCTTCTAAAGGTGCAACAGGGGAAATGCATCACTCATTGTCTTAGTTAAGCTAGTGTGGTCCTAAACGGGCAATTGCAGAGCTCTATTCTATTCTATTTATATTTATTTAGACAGAGTCTCTGTCGTCCAGGCTGGAATGCAGCAGCATCATCATAGTTCACTGTGACCGCAACACTCCTGGGCTCAAGAGATCCTCCTGCCTCAGCCTCTCACATAACTGGGACTACAGGCATGTGCCACCATACCCAGCTATTTTTTTTATTAATAGTTTTTGTAGAGATGAGGGTCTCACTATGTTGCCTAGGCTGATCTGGAACGCCTAGCTTCAAGTGATACTCCTACCTTGGCTTCCCAAAGTGAGCTACCACACCCAGAGCTACATTTTAAATAAAGTTGCAGTGTTGCATTTTAATGCCTGATGAAGCATGTGTATTATGTAGCACCTTTATTCCAAAGTGCTTAATGAATACTTTCCCACTCATCCATTCCCTTACCCTTCAGAGGGGGGAAAAAAACATTTTCCCCAAATTAGCTTGCATAATAGATGCAAATTTCTTGTACTCTCATCAGATGTTTTAAAGTTATCTTGAAAGCTCAGAACTAGAAAGACATATCTGTCCACTATCCACTCTTATAATAAAAAAATGTTTCAAAATGTCCTAAAATAGAAGTTGCATGTTTCCAAGGTCCAGTCCCACCCGTGTTATGTCTGTATCTATCTCTAGAGCCCTCCATTTTACCTTTCGGGGTATGCTGAAATTCTGATAAACTAATAAACTCCTGCTCTGGGCACACTAAAGAATCAGTAAATGTTTTCCCCTTGTGTTTTGACAGGAGGAAGAGAGCAGAATTGGCCATGATGTAGTCAGCATCTAAGGACTTGGACTGAAATAAGACACAGAAAATCTGGGGTGGTGGCGACTATTGTGAGAAATGGCAATGGAACAGAGATTTTTCCAATAGAGAGATGTGGTCTCCCAACAGGAAAGGCATTTCCAACTCCTACAGATGGATGGAACACTGAAACTTCTAGTCATATATCCCACGGGTAATCTATGAATCTTAAAAAGTAGACGTTCAATTTTGTATTCACTTTTAGACTATAGATTAAATATAAACCTTTTTTGCACATTTTATGTACTTTTTTTGACTCTCAAAGGGATGAAGATACTTTTGGAATCAATACAATATAAATTAATCTAACAGAATAGTAGATTTATATTAGGTTTTAGTGATTATAAGATCTCTCAATCAATACTTATATAGAATATTACTATCTTCATGTAGAAGAGTAATAACCTTTTAGATATTATCTCTTCACTCAGAAAGGTCATGGACCACTAATGTGGAGAAAAACCAAGGTCCACCAGCTTGCTTGGCAAGTACGGCACAAACAGAACAAGGGCTCAATTCTCCTCGTACACAGTATTAGATTCTCTCTCTCTCTCTCTCTCTCTCTTTTGAGACAGAGTTTCACTTTGTTGCCCAGGCTAGAGTGAGTGCCATGGCATCAGCCTAGCTCACAGCAACCTCAAACTCCTGGGCTCAAGCAGTTCTACTGTCTCAGCCTCCCAAGTAACTGGGACTACAGGCATGTGCCACCATGCCCGGCTAATATTTTCTATATATATTAGTTGGTCAATTAATTTCTTTCTATTTATAGTAGAGACAGGGTCTCACTCTTGCTCAGGCTGATTTCGAACTCCTCACCTCGAGCAATCCACCCGCCTCGGCCTCCCAGAGTGCTAGCATTACAGGCGTGAGTGAGCCACTGCGCCCGGCCTATACTGGGTTCTCTCTATACCACCAGTGGTACTGAGTTGCTAAAATGTAGGCGTCATGAAGAAAGTCTAGTTTGCACATAAATACGTATTTTAAAATGTATATATAAACCTAGTTGATATTAAAATTATTAGAAAACTAAGGCAAAATGATTTATATTCTCAAAAAGTAAATTCCTTCAGCAGTGATTTAAACACTTAAACACTACTTTTTAAAGTGTCCTGGGAAAAGAGAAAAGATGTAAATAAGATGATTAAGTGATGGAAAGAGAAATGCCTCTCCCACTCCCCTCCTGCAATTGGAGCTGTTATGTTTTAACTGGATAATTGATGGTAGGTTTGTGTCAGGATCCTCTTATCTATGTGATTTTGGTATAGAGTTGGCTAAAAGGTGAGCATATGTGAGATTTGGAAGATGAGAGTGAAGCAGAAGCCATTACTCTCAGAAGGGTATGTGGTCAGACATGGTGATGAACAAATGTAGAGGTTTTTGACAAATTCCAATCCTTGTTCCCTTGATCTAGCTCATCTTCCTGGCTGACAATTCTGCTGACAAGCAGAGCCTCAGCTGATGGCATTAGATAATTGGTTTCAGCCCCCAGAAGGCTATATTTACATTGTAGGAACTGTTTCCCCAGAGGCTGGAGTTTCCATAATTCTTGCCATCTTCATCTTCATGCAGGTCCAACTTCAATGGCCACATGTTTAAATTCTTGGATTTCCTTATAAACTCCAAGGAATGCTTCAGGTAAAGTGGCTGGTGACTATTTCTTTGGTTCTCTAACATCTCCTGCCATAGTGTAAATGTTTGTCTTCTAGCAAACACACATTAAAATTTAATTGCCATTTAAACAGAATAAAGAGGTAGAACCTTTAAGACATGATTGGGCCATGAGGACTCTATCACATAATAAATTAATAAATTAATGGAATAATTAATAAATTAATGGCATAATAAATTAATCCCATTGTCAAGGAGTGAAGTGGGTTCCTTATAAAAGGATGAGTTTGGCTTCTTTTTGTCTCTCTCACCCTCTTTGTGCCCTTTGACCATAGGATGACACAGCAAGATGGCCCTTCCAAGATACTGGCCCTTCAATCTTGAATTTCTCAGCCTCAAAATATGTAAGCCAATAAATTTCATGGAATAATAACAAAAACAATATCTACCACAGGCAGTTCTTATTTTATTGTGCATCATTTTATTAAACTTTTCAGATTTGCATTTTTTACAAATTGAAGGTGTGTGGCGGCAACCCTTCATCAGGCAACTCTGTTGGCGGCATTTTTCCAGCAGCTTGTGCTCACTTTGTGTTTCTGTGTCACATTTTGGTAACTCTCACAATATAGTCTTTCATTATTATTATATCTGTTATGGTGATCTGTGATCAGTGATCTTTGATGTTACTATTGTAATTATTTTAGGGTGCCACAAACTGTGCCCATAGAAGAATGTGAATTTAATCCATAAATGTTGTATATGTTTTGACTGCTCCAATACTGGCCATTGCCCCATCTCTCTCTCTCCCATTGGGCCTCCCTATTTCCTGAGGCACAGTGATATTGAAATTTGGCCAATGGCTTCTGAGTGTTCAAGTAAAAGGAAGAATCACACATCTCACTTTAAATCAAAACCTAGAAATGATTAAGGTTACTGAGGAAGACATGTGGAAAGCTGAGATAAGCTGAAAGCTAGGCCTCTTGTGCCAAAGAGTTAGACAAATTGTAAACGCAACAGAAAGTTTTTGAATGAAATTAAAGGTGCTAATTCCATGAACACATGACTCTGCTAAGAAAGCACAACAGCCTTCTTTTTGGTATGGATAAAGTTTAACTGATCTGAGTAGAAGATCAAACCAGCTGTAACATTTCCTTAAGTCAAAGCCTGACTCAGAGCAAGGTCTAACTCGTTTCAATTCTATAAAGGCAGAGAGAGGTAAGGAAGCTATAGAAGATTAAGTCTGAAACTAGTAGAGGTTGATCTATGAAGTTTAAGGAAAGAAACTGTCTCCATAGTATAAAAGTTCAAGGTGAAGCAGTAAGTACTGATGTAGCAGCTATAGCAAGTTATCCAGAAGATCTAGTTAAAAATCAGTTATGAAGGTGGCTATACTAAACAATAGATCTTTTAATGTAGACAAGACAGCCTTATTTTGGAAGAAGATGCCATTTAGGACTTTCCTAGCTTGAGAGGACAAGACAATGTCTGGCTTCAAAACTTTAAAGGACAGACTGACTCTCTTGTTAGGAGCTAATGCTGCTGACTGATATCAGCTAACATGTTGATTGATACTGTATTCATGCCTGCTAGCATAGCATCCATTCTGCATGGATAAAGGAGTAGTTTTGACTTTCAAGTCTTATTATTTAAGAAATACATTTCATAAGGCTATAGCTGCCAGGTATAGTGATTCCTCTGATGGATATGGGCAAAGTAAATTGAAAATCTCTGGAAAAGATTCCCCATGCTAAACACTATTAACCACTTCCGTACGAGCGTCGACTATAGTCGATAGCCACGCGTCGACTATAGTCGATAGCCACAGATGAACACACACAGCCGAACGTTGACTTTAAGGTTAATAACAAAACTTCTACAGCAGTACTCTGAATCGAGGCAATACAACCCTTGTACTGCATCAGAAAATCTCATGCATTTTAGGGAAGGACATTTTCCAGCATCTTACAATAGTGATAAAACAAAAAGGAAAAATCCATTAAGAAGATGTATTGTATGCTCAGAAAAATAATAAAAGGTGTAGTACTAGATACTATTGTAAACAATGTAATGTTGGCCTATGTATAGCCCCATGCTTCGAAATTTATTATACCAAAGAATAAAATTTATCGTAATATTCAAAAACTTGCCTTGTTTCTTTATGATATGAATGAAATAAAACTATAATTTTGAATTGACTTTTCTAATTTTTCATTTTTCAAAATAAAATTGTGAACATTCAAAAATAATGTAATAAAAAAATATATGTATATGTTACCTATTCTTATTTACATTATAAGTAAAGCTGCCTGTAAAGTAAAACAAGCTTTCAGTGCTTTAAATCTTTCCTCATCACACAAGAGCAAAACGGATTTGTCGTCAATGCACAGCACACACTATCGTGCGGACTATGAGTGCCGGCTGTGGGCAAGGTTTCACAGCTACTGAGCGTCATACCGAAGTGGTTAAGAATATTTGTGATTCCTGGGAGAAGATCAAAACAGAAACACTAACAGGAGTTTGAAAGTAGTTAATTCCAACCCTCATAGATGACTTTGAGGGCTTCAGCACTTCATAGAGGAAGTAACTGCAGATGTAGTGGAAATAGCAGGAGAATTAGAAGTAGAGCCTGAAAATGTGACTGAACTGCTATAGTTTCATGATCAAATTTGAACAGATGATGAGTTGGTTCTTATGGATGAGTAAAGAAAGTGGTTCCTTAGATGGAATCCACTCCTGGTGAAGATTATTGTTGAAATGACAACAAAGGATTTGGAATATTCTATAAACTTAGTTGGTAAAGCAATCCAAGGTTTGAGAGGATTAATTTCCATTTTAAAAGAAGTTCTCCTGTGGGTAAAATGCTATCAGAGAGTATCACATGTTACAGAGAAATCTTTCATAAAGGAAGAGTCCATTGATACAGCAAACTTCATTGTTGTCTTATTTTAAGAAATTGCCACAACCACCCCAACCTTCAGAAATCACCACCCTGATGAAACTTCAGCCATCAACATTGCAGGCAAGACTCTCTAGCAGCCAAAACATCATCTCTTGATGAAGAATTATATTACTGTCAGCACTTTTTAGCAATAAAGTATTTTTGTTTATTTATCTTTATTTCAAAATATTATGGGAGTACAAATATTTCTGGTTACATGGATTGCTTTTGTAATGCCTGAGTCAGGGCTGTAAGTGTGCCCATCACCCAAACAGCATTCATTGTACCCATTAGGTAGGTTTTCGCTCATTTCCTCCTTCTTCTCCCCATCCTCATTTGATCTTTGTCAAGATCATCCTCATTTCTACTGCATTTTACTCCCCTCTGTGCACATGTATGCTCATCAGTTATTTACAATGTAATAGTGAATACATGTGGTCTTTGATTTTCCATTCTTTAGATGCTTCACTCAGGATAATGGTCTCTAGATCCATCCAAATTGTTGCAAAGCCATTAATTCATCTTTTTTATGGCTTAGTAGTATTCTATGGTATCCATACTTTGTTGTTAATTCACTCATGAATTTATAGGCACTTGGGTTGATTCCACACCTTTGCAATTGTGAGTTGTGCTGCAATAAACATTTAAGCGCAGGTGTTTTTTTGATAAAATGACTTCTTTTCCTTTGTGTAAATCCCCAGTAGTGGGATTGCTGGATCAAATGGTAGGTCTATTTTTAGTTCTTTGGTGAATCTCCGTAGAGATTCTCTATGTTTTCTAAAGAAATTTTACTAATTTGCAGTCCCACCAACAGTATACAAGCATTCCTTTCTCTCTGCATCCATGCCAGCATCTATTGTTTTTGAAATTTTTAATAAAAGACATTGCAATAGGGGTAAGGTGATATCTCATTGTGATTTTAATTTACATTTCCCTGATGATCAGTGACAATTGTTTTCTCATATGTTTTGTGGCCATTTGTCTATCTTCTTTTGAAAACTTCTGTTCATGTCTTTTGTCCACTTTTTAATACGGTTATTTGTTTATTTCTTGATTATTTGCTTGAATTCTTTGTAGATTCTGGTTATTAGCCCTTAATCAGTTGTATTGCTTGTGAATATTTTCTCCCATTCTATAGGTTGTCCATTTACTCTGTTGATTGTTTCCTTAGCTGTGGAGAAGTGTTTTAATTTGATGAAGTTCCATTTATTTATTGTTGTGCTGCCATTATTGCCACTGGGGTCTTTTTCGTAAATTCTTTGCCTAGGCCAATATCCAGAAGAGTTTTTCCTACATTTTCTTCTAAAATTTGTGTAGTTTCATGCCTTACATTTAAGTCTTTTATCCATCTTGAATTAATTGTTTTGAGTGGTGAGAGATATGGATCCTATTTTATTCTTCTGCATGTGGCTATCCAGTTCTCCCAGCACCATGTATTGTATAGGGCTTCTTTTTCCCCAGAGTATATAGTTGTCTGTTTTGTCAAAGATCAGTTGGCTGTATGTGGATTGTTTTATATCTGTGTTCTCTGCTCTTCTCCATTGGTATATGTCTCTATTTTTGTGCCAAAACCATGCTGTTTTGGTTACTATAGACTAGTAGTATAGTTTGAAGTTTGGTAATGTGATGCCTCCTGATTTGTTACTTTCTTTTTGACTATTCAGGCTCTTTCTGGTTCCAAATGAAGCATAGAATTATTTTTTCTAGATCTGTGAAATATGACATTGGTATTTTGATGGGATTTACATTGAATCTCTAAATCACTTTGGGTAGTATGGACATTTTAATAATGTTGTTTCTGCCGATCCATGAACATGATATGTTTTTCCATTTGTTTATATCATCTGTAATTTCTTTCCTCAGTATCTGTAGTTCTCTTTGTGGAGATCTTTCACCTCCTTGGTTAAGTGTATTCCTAAGAATTTTATTTTCTTTTTAGCTTTTATGAATGGTATTGAGTCTTTGATTTGACTTTCATCTTGACTGTTATTGATGTATAAGAATGCTATTGATTTGTGCTCATTGATTTTGTAACCTGAGAATTTGCCAAATATATTTATCAATTCCAGGAGTCTCCTGGTGGAGTTTGGGGGGGGGGGTAAAAAAAAAAACAAAATGGCAACAAAAAAGGAAAAGTTTGACCTCCACTTTCCTGATTTGGATACATGCAAAACTACAACCAACATCATTGTGAATGGGGAAAAGAACTTGAAAGCATTCCTATTAAGAACTGGAACAAGACAAGAGTGCCCACTGTTAACACTTCTATTAAACAGAGTGCTGGAAGTCCTAGCCAGAGCAATCAGAAAAAAGAAAGAAATAAAGTATTTTTTAATTAAGGTATGTTCATTATTTTTTAAACATAATGCTATTGCATGCTTAATAGACTATAATGTAGTATAAACATAACTTTTATATGCACCAGGAAACCAAAATATTTGCTTCATTGAAAAATTCACTTTATTGAGGTGGTTTGGGATCAAAGCCACAGTGTCTCTGTGTATGCCTGTGTATAGTATTATAACTCAGGCATTATATACCCATTCTTTCCAATTATTTTAATAGCCCCTCATTGAAATCATCACTAATTTATAGACGATAAAAATTAAGGGTACAAATGGTTAAGGAACTTGTTTAAGGTCCAGATAGCTAGAAAGTACTGGAGCCAAGTCTATCTG